AATACCTGATTACCACAAAATCTCTTTCAAGTTAGCACCACCGTAGAATCTTTGCTGCGTGTTACTAGAGGAAATAAGGCATAAAAATACTAACTGAAAATCAAAGGTAATAAAAATGCTAATACTGAAATGAATTGGGCCCCTGCACATTCAAACAGATCTTCAATCTTTGCTTCCCTACTTGACACCTCCCAGAATGCTTCTGGGCTACATTCTAATGCTACCTTGCTGCACCCTCAGGCAATTCAAAGTAGTTTTAAATGTTATCCTAACTAAAACATAACTAAAAGATAAGGACAATGAAAGCAATTAGACTTAGGATTTCATTGGTTTGAGGTGAAGAAACTCCCATAACCAAAGCAGGTTGACTCAATCTCTGTAACTTAAGTCACAGAGCAGCACATAGTCACAAAGCTAGAGGCAGAGTTGAACTTTCTGGCTTCAAGGTTGACTTTCTAGTCACTACACAACTCTTGTCTCTTAAATAGAAAACCAAACGATTTAAAATCACATATCATCTTTTATAAAACCAAACAGATATAATTCTCAAATCTTATCCATTGTCTTGGGTTATTGACTTCACTGCTAACCTTCCATTAGCATGGAAAATGGGAAGAAAGGCTTGTATGTAAATCTAACACATATATGAATAAGTGTTTAAGTGTAAGGTGAACCAAATAATTTCCTTTCCTCCAACTAATCTTTTTAGCTGAACTCTGATTGGAAATCATTTTAATCTGTGAGAAGGATATGCTATCCTGGACTGATTCTGCAGATATGTGAGAAAAATCTGTTATGACAAGTAATTTCTCCTACTTGGGATAGTGTGTAGGGAGTAACGGGATAAGCTATAGTGAAAGGAAGCATGCAGTCCTGGAAAGAGCACTGCATTTGGAATCAGAATACTAGAGTTTTTCTAGTCTACAAGTTCATTCACTGACCTTGGACAAGTTAGGCCACTTTTCAAGGCCTCAGTTTTCTCAACTGCAAAAAAGTAAAAGGATTGTAAGAGATTAGCTCTAATGTTCCTAGCAAGCTCTAAAAACTTTGTGATTTTACATGGCTTTGTGAATAACTAGTTAACAAACTGCAAATAGGACTCCATTAGGGAGAACAATGAATCTCGTTAAGTGATCTCATTATTCAAATCCATATTGCATATTTCTATTGGGCTAGAAAGAATGATTATATCTTAGAGAATTATAACTTCCAATAGTAAGGAAAAATCAACTCCATGAAGGCTGCACATATTAGAATTCAAACTATTTGAAGTTATAATTCTGTAAGATATGGTCATTGTTTCTAGCCCAATAGAAATACGCAGTGCGGATCTGAATAATGAGACCACTTAATGAGATTCATTATTCGCACTAATGGGGACCTAGCTGTATGTAATATTATGGTCACAAATGGCATCTCTTAGCTGAGACAACCATCTTGTAAATGGGTTCCTCAGGTTACAAGTATAACTTAATTAATCTATTTTGCTTCTTTAGCAAATTACAGCAAACATGACTGAACTACTCATTATTAACTGATGATCATGCAACGCTTCCAGGTCATTATTCTGAATGCTTACTGTATAGTTATTGTATATGGAGAAGATTGTTTCAGTTTTAGTTAATTGGGACTTTTCTGTACTACACACAACATTTATTATACTGGCCTGAATTTAGGACATTTCTTCCCAATTTAGCCGGAGGGAGTGGGAAAATATTGATTGGGAGACCCAGACCTAATGATTTCCTCCTAACAAAGGGGTAGGTAACCAACAACAAATAACAAAAAGAGGTGTTAAGGTCTTAACAAAATGCAAAGAGGGCTTTATATTTTATTAGCCTTTTAGGAGGGGGTGAATTTCTACAGTCAAGCTTAATGAAATTGGAGAGTGGCTTGGCTGAAATACTCACCCTACCTCTGGTCGCCTTTTGAAAAGTAGTTATCTTAACTCTAAGCAAGGAAAGAGATCTGTCAGCTGAGGAAAGTGCCAGCTTTTGGGAGTTGAGGTGAAGACAGAAAGAGACCCAGGGGAGCTCAACTGAGTAGCCCATCCTGCAGAGACACTCTGTCTGGGAGGAGCAGCTTAAGGATACCAGGAGAAGAGAAAGGATATGAAACCCAGAGCCCAAGGTGGGAAGTGCCTGGCTTCTTACTGTTCTCTATGTGTATGTCTCTCTACTAGTGTATTCACTGGGTGTGCCCACTCTTCCTATCAATGCTGTAAATAGTTGTGGGAGAGTGTGACCCAGTTAACAGTAATGATGATGATGATGATGATGTCAATAATAATAGCTAGCATTTATACAGAGGTTACTATGTGCCAGGGACTGAGCTTTACAAATATTTATCTTATTAAATCCTCACAACAACCCTGGAAAGTAGGTACTATTATTATCCCCATTTTACAGATGAGGAAACTGAGGCAAACAAAAATTAAGTGACTTGCCCAGGGTGACTCAACTAGTAAGTGTTTGAAGCTGTATTTGAACTCAGGACTTAGAGAATTCAGGTCTAACCCTCTATCTACTGTACCACCTTGGCTCTGGACATTATACTGTGTCTGTCTCCCATTCCAGGAAGCTCTATAAACATGAAGAGCTTTTTATAAAATGCATTCGGCCTTAACTTGAAATATGTCAGATCACAGTTCGTGATTTCTAATTGGGTAAAAGAGCAAAAAAAATGTTTGGAAGGGAGAGTGGAAAAGAGCTGTGGAATAGAGGAAATTTATGTCATTGATGATGGTCGTCTGTTTTATGGCGAAACCCTAAGTTGCTTAGAGTTGTTAGCTTTTAAACAAATTTTAGGTGAAGTTTTTTTTTTCTTAAACAGAACATATTTCTGTAAAACGTCACCAAGTTTAGTTTAGAAACTAACTTGCCAGAGAAGACACGGGAGAGGCCAGTAGATCCCTGAATTCCCAGAGGTTGAGTGGGATTTCTATTCCCCTATCTTGGAGCCCCCTCTGCAGAAGGGTGCCTAGTTAATACAATTTTCTTACGTGACGCTGACAATAACCAGGTTTTTTACATTAAGGCAAAGATGTACACATGCGTCTTGGATGCTGCTTCCCTGCTGCCCGCTACCATTTTAATGAAAAGACAGACTGTCATCAGTATACTTATATTGGCCATCTGCAGAATGCCAGCCTTCTTGAGGGCAGGAACTATGGTTATTTTATTTTATTTCTGTCTTTGCATGCCTAGTGCCTCACACATAGCAGGCACTTGATAAATTCTGAGCTGAATTCTGGTTTCAGAATTGAAAAGGTCTTTCTCACCTAGCTTTAAAGAGCGTTGGAAAACAAGTCTTATTCTATTTATTCCTAAATGTGGATTGTGAAGAATAGTTTTTTAAAGCTTCTTCGTCTAAGTGCTCAGCGGTCATAAAACACAGCAGAAAAGAACTGAGAATATAATTCCACTGTTTATTTGTATTTTAATCAAATATGCCTCTAACTGCTTGTTAAATGGAGCTCAAAACCAGTGGTTAGAGTTGCTGAGACACTGGTTAATTTAGGGACCTCATTTGAAGAGACTTTCAGGGAGACAGGAAGCTATTACTTTATACCGATGAATAGTTTGTTTTCCATGTGGGTTGCTTCGTATTTGATGTGCTTCTACAAAGAATCATATATTTTTTAACTGGCGCAGCAACACTGTGGCATCCACTATGATTAGGTCATTCTGAACATATCTAGATTTCAACCTTGGTAATAGCCTGTATTCAAAGGGAAGAATCTCTCCACATTTCTGAAGCAATGTCCAAAGAGGAGATAATGGCTGGAAAAGGACACATTTGTTATTGTCTTAGGAGAAAACAAAGTTTATATCATATTAAAATAAAACAAAACAAAAGGAAAAAATGAGTCTTTGAAGTTAAACATTTTCTACAATATATGCTAATAGGCTTATGAAAAACTCCTCATTGAAATATAAAGAAATCCTCAAAGCCTTACTCCTTTCTCCCCAGAGTCCCACTTTGTCAGACTGTGCTAGTGTGGTTTAAGAATACCATTAATAATGAATTAATTGTTAATGCTCTTTCTTACTGCCCCCTCCCCTCAACAAAACTATTTTGTATTTGCTGTCTACATTTTTGTTTATCTGTGTATAGTGTTAGTTCTCCTTAGTAGAATGGAAGCTCCTTGAGAGCATAAAATGTTTTATTTTTATTTTTTGGATCCCTAGCACTTAGAAAAGTAGCTGGTGTACAGACAGCCCTCAATAAATGCATATTGTATTGACCTAAACTGTATGAAAAGTCAAGAGTTTCTCATTTTCCTCTCCAAATTACCTTTCATTTGGTAATCCCAACTAGGAAATGCACTTAAGAACTAGAAAGTAGTTGGCAGGATGTAGAGGCAACAGTGCTGGCCTGGGAGTCAGGAAACCTTGATTTTAGTTCCACCTCGGCCATTAACTAGTCTGGTAAACCAGGGCAAGTGACTTACTCTCTCTGTATGGTCCCTCAATCTGGCAAAGAGGGTTGGATTAGGCAATCCAGCCCTAAAGATTCTCCAATTCTATTGCTATAGAAGGAGGGGGTGATGGGCCCAAGAAGGGTAGAACAGCTTTCTCAGAAGGCCTATTTTTATTCCTCTTTGGAAATTTAAGAAAATTATTTTACCGCTACTGCCAAAGAACTATACTCATACATGCACACTTGTGTGCACTCATATACATGCATGCATACAGATACAAATCAGAAAATGAAATGTAACTGTTCCTTCCAAAGAAGATTTCTAGAAAAGAGACAGTTGACTCATAAAATAATGTCACAAAACTCCATTCCTAGTTTGCATGTACAAGCTGTTTTGAAAACAAAACAAAACAAAACAAAACAAAACACATCAGAAATCTATATACATTCAATCAGCTCCAAGACAACAACTTGTCGAGGGGAGGAAAATAAAAAGCACTCATTTCTTTTTATTTGTATGAACCCCAATTTAATTATGATCTTTAATATTTTCACAAGTAAATAATTTAATAGTCTACCTGAGTGACAGCCACATTTGTTCCATCGGTGACTTCCACACTCATATTATAGATGGACCTCTGCTCTGCATCCAGAGGTTTTGCAATGACAATTGTCCCAACGCCTTTCTCTGCGTCGAAAGAGCTGTCAAAATTCCCCCCTGACGATTTCACAAAAACAAAATGAAATTAGCATATTCTGGGAAATGATATGTGTGCTGAATATGTACATATGACTAGAAGCATTTCTATATACATTTCTTGACAGGCATCCCTATGGCGCCATTTTGTACATATTAAATGGGTCCTTTTTGTCTTAACCTAATTTATTTTTTTCAAAGCACAGCTTCTACAATGCAAAACAAATGTCACACAAAAATAATGCGTAGAAAATGATCGGCAGCAATATTGTTACAGCAACTGAAGCATAAACACTGACTGTAGAAATATAAAGAAAGCTATCAAATCTATAATCCCTTACACTTCCTGTGCTATAAATCTGCAGACCTTGTAGGCTTTTGAATTGTGAATATATTATTTTTAAGAAAGAAATAAACACATCAGTATCCCCATTAGTTAAAGTAAGTACATAAGTAGATGAAAATGAACTGACACAATGCAATTCACATGAGGGTTGATGGTAAACCTTTGGTGGTTGATTTTGCCTTCTCAGTCTTTGGGGAAGAACTTATTTAATAGATTAGGCAGTGGAAAAAAAAGCCCACCACATGATTTTCTAAGTTTCATTTACAAAAATAAAACAAATTTTTCTATGATTTTGGAGCACCCTGACAATTAGAATTATAATCTAGAAGGGGAAGCTGTTCTAAAAATATGTAAGACAAAAATCACAAATAAACATTGAAAATGATCACTTTATTTTAAAGGTTAGTGATTGGCCCTGCCTCTTATCCAATCCCCCTGGTATAGGATAATTCATGGTTGGCAGATAACATGTTTAGGCCAACAGCTGCATAGGAGAGGGGAGGGGTATTATAGATAAGGTTGTCTGCTCCCTTCATCCTACCCATCCCGCCCTGATCACCCAAAGAACATTTTATGATCCTTCTAAATAAGGGAATTTAGGGGAAGGCAAGAAGAAAACAATGAACAGTGGAGCTATTTTAATTTAAAAAACCAGTATACTTTCACAAGTTCTACTATTTCTGATTCTGAAATTTCATCTTGTTGATTAATTTTGTTCTTGGATGGTAATTTCATTTAACTGGAGCAGGATAAGGCAATATGTTCACTGCACTTTCTAATTTAGGAAAACCTGGCTTCTCATATATTTAGGATTCCTTGAATTTCATTATGCTAATCAATAAACAGTACATTTCCTATAATATTACAACTAGAAATGTATACAAGAGTTAAATAAAAATAGAATTTTAGTTAAATTGAGGTGATTTGATCCACTGTGACATCAAAAATGAGTGTATGACTTAATTTCCCACCCTGGTCATATATACTTCAAAACACTTATTGCCTGCAGCTGTTATATGCACTTAACATTATTTAATTGCTGGTGAGAACATAATTGCCCTTGACATTTAATTAAAGTTCTGGAGATATCAAGGTATAAGGGAATTGCTCTAAGATTACATATTTTTCCAAAAGTTTCACCTAAAAAAAGATGTCATCTTCCAATTAATGGCTTTAATTGATTTCCTAAGAAGCACTAAAAATCAACTCCAAAAAAACCCCCAAATTATTTGAAGAATGAGGATTTCTAGACTAGGTTAGATATCTGGGCTGAAAGGGAACTAGCCTTGGGACAACATTCACTTTTCAAAAGGAATGTTCCATACTGATAATCACAAGAAATAAAATGTTAAGACATTAATTTGAAAGCCTTAATAACCAACTGAACGAGCAATGACAATTCTTGTGTTATCAGCTGGTATTCCTTGAAGAAAGTTTGCCAAGAAAAGTTTCAAAGGTCAAAGCTAAGAGATCTGTAATTACCTCCCAAAGCCAACTCTGGTGGTAAAGATGAAAACACATATTTAGAGATAAACATTCACATTTATGTATATGTGTATCTAAATTTCAAACTAAAATCTCCTTCTGAATTCTAAACAAATTGGGAAAGGCAATGAAATATATTTTCTTCTCTCAACAGAGTTCTTACTTTTTTTTTTTTTAAATCCGAGGATATTTTGCTTTTGTAACCCAGGGAAACAAGTATTTTTTCCAAGGTAAGGAATGGGAGACTTGTTGAAGATATGGATGTACAGCTAACATAAACACTGGTGCTCACACAAACTAGAGAGCTGTAATTTTTCATTTTTAGTTCAGTTATTTATGAAAATGAAATTTAGAAGAAACATATGAAGGCTTTCAAAACTTTAGGCCGACATTATTAGGTCTGAGTTCTTGTCCCCTTCCTTATAGATTTTTCAGCACCATGGTCTCTACTAAGATTTTCCTTGGGGCCCTATATAGTCACATAAAATTAAAGCCATATGCCTATTTGCATAAATTTACATATTTTGCACGTCACATAGACTGTGTGGTTTATACTGTTAGCTTTCAAATTAAAAACATTTTTTTTGGCTACTCTTAAAACTGTGTGTGTGTGTGTGTGTGTGTGTGTGTGTGTGTGTGTGTGTTTAAACTCTCCTCCTTCTCATTCATCCACCATCACTGATGCAGACTTATACCAGAAACATAATAAAGAGAAGGAAGACATAAAGAAAGCAGGGTAAATAGGGATTTCAGAAATACAGCAGGCTACCACTGTAGTTATCAGCCTCTCTGTGCAGGGCTGTCTCCTGCAGAGAGAACTTTTTTATCTGTAATAGAGATTCTAAAATCTTTAGTGACCAGAAAATTATTTTCTGGCAAGGAAAAAGAAGTTTGGACCAGCAGTTCACCAGCAACCCTCAAGCAATGCAATAATCAACCACTTAGGCATCCCACTTCATAAACCATCTAATGTCTCTCCCCCAGGTCTCATTTCTGTAGCCTCCATTTTAACCTGAAAGTTCATTTCATTTTCATGGGCAACCATCAATATCAAACGAAAGGATCACATGTTAGAAATCTACTTTCCCTTACAGCATCCCATTCCAACATGGAGCGTTCCCTCAAAGCCAGTAACAGACATGCAAAGCAGTTTATTTGGTGCAGCAGGGCTTGGCTAAACAAAAGTGGGGGAGACACTGCTGGGCTATTCCAAAGGTCAACAGGGTGGGAAGGGGAAAAGTCCCAGCCTGGGAGTCGTTGCAGGAGTGAGGGAAATGAGAAAAAACAAAAACAAAAACAACAAGGTTGTGAACAGCTCATGGGGCAGATAATACAAAGCCATGGAAGGGAAAAGTCTCTATGTCTACCTAAGGTCATATCTCAACAGAATTTCCCCCTGTACTAATGAAAAAGGGGATAATGTGGTATGCAAAGAGAAGAAAAAATATAATGGATTTTTATTGGATCCCCAAAAGAAATACAGTGGATAAGAAAATTGTAACATCGTTTCATAAGGTGTCTTCTATAAAAGATACTTTAATCCAGAAGGTACTTTTAGAATGTGATGGGACACTAGATTAGAGATTAGTAAAATTTTACTTGGGGTGGAGAAGCATGATGCAGTTCTCCCCAACCAATGCAGAACCATTGATACAAAGGGCAGAGATTCTCCCACAGGAAAGATTCTACAGTCTTCAGCATGCATGCAATCTATTCCTCACTATGTGTAATTTTAAAATGTCAACTAAAATCTAGTAGTTACCAGGGGGGAAAAAGTGTGATGTGAGTAGCTTCCAAAACACAGAGATGTTTTAATCTAAATGAATTAAGCGAGTCACACACAAGCTGTTCATCATTTGAGTTCAAAATGTACTCTGAACTTATGGAAAAATGTTAAAATTAGCATGTTACATTTTGACCAAGAATAATTTTTGGACCCAGATAGCAGCAAGTAGAATAATTGTAAAGGGCTTAAAAAAACCCCAAAGGCAGGAAAGAGTGGTTAGAGAGATCAGGGGAAAGTGATAGGAAGCAATTCTCCTACTGAGTTTGGATCTCAAATTAATTTTCTGAAAGTAATGAGGCTTTTCTCTTTTTAAATTTTTTTTTGATCCACCTAAAGGTGTTTAGCCTTTTTCATCCTTCTATTAAGTCTTTTGGGTATTCTCTACTGCAAAATGCCATTGCTATGAGAAGAAGGAAGAGATATCCATCAAGAAGATGTTTTGGTCTATCTTTAAGAGGAATAGACTGAAGAGAAAAGGACAGAAGGCCAAGAGATGTGAACCTTGAGACAAGGCTCTCTTTAAAAGAAATGTATAGTGTTTGAAGAAGGGAATCTTTGAAAAGATTTCAAGTGTCATGAATTTGGATGAGAAAAAACTACGTCATTATTTTCACTAGGCTCTAACTGAAATTCACCATTTCCTTTAATTATGAACGTAGGCAACAAGGATTATTCTGAAAGGGGTCTTTAGGATTCACCACACTGCCAAAGAGGTCCATTGCACAGGCACATGTGTGTGCACACACATACGCACACATGAGGTTAGAAATCTGCTCTAGGAAATATTGTCTGGAAACATCCATTGGTCAGAGAACACATTTCAATGTTCGTATTTTAAGAGCATTAGAGCTGGCTATTATATCAATTAGTCAGACACTTACTAACTGTGCGACCTTGGGCAAATCACTTCACCTTTGTTTGCTTCAGTTTCCTCATCTGCAAAATGGGGATAATAAGAGCAACTACTTCCCAGGGTTGCTGTGAGGATCAAATGAGATATGTTATGAATAAGAATTTCCCCCTGTACTAATGAAAAAGGGGATAATGTGGTATGCAA